CTTAGTGAGACTAATTTGAGTTCGGCTATTTCATCTTGTGATATTAGTGCTAATGATTATTTTCCTTTAATTCGTAAAGACTCCAATAGTCACATGCTTGGCCTGGGCATCTACATTCAAAAGAGTTCACCTATTTGTCTGGAAACTAGGTTTGAATCTACAGACTATTTTTCTATGTTCTCAAGACTGCACTCTTTTTGATATTATTTCTGATCATATTTTGATGTTATTTGTTTTGCCTTTCTCAATCTCTAACTCAAATAGTTAACTTTTTAACTGGCTTTCCAGACAATCATTTAAATTTTCTATTCAACTTATGTCTTGTTTCAGATCCTAGTCAGTGCTCAGTTTTTCCACATTCACCCTTAGGTGCATCTGATCACGATTTGTTTATTTTTAAACTAAAACAATTTTTCATCATCATCAGAATCCCCCTATTACCTTACCTCTTACAACTACCTTAACGCTGACTGGAACTATTTCTGTAATTTTCTTTGTAATGGCTTTTGGGTAGAAGTCTTCTTGTTGGCAAATGTGCTTCTTATGTATCGCCTTGGACTCAGACTGGAATGTAATTTTTTTTTACCTCTCAACAATTCCAAGTCAAGCCTCACTCTTCTTAATGGTTTTCCATCTCACCTAAAGACAAAGCTAAACTGTTTGCTAAGAACTTTTAATTAATATTATCTCTTGATTCCACTAATTGTGTTCTACCTGATATAGCCAACAAACAGGTTGATCCAGTACTTGACGTTTATATCACTCCAGCTTCTGTATCTAAAGTGATTTCTGTATCTAAAGTGAACACTTAATCTCTCATCTTGAATCTAATAACTTTCTGATCATCAATATGGATTTTGATCTTCATGTTCTACAGCTGATTCTTCAGCTAACAGTAACAACTGATAGTTTTTAACATACATTAGATAGGTGTGGAGAAATTTAGGTTATCGCTCTTGACATTTTTAAAGCTTTTGATAAAGTTTGGCATGTTGCACAGTGAGCCAGAATATAACAAAAATTAGCAAAAATAGAAAACGCTTAAATATAATCATATGTTAATCATATGCTTTTGGGGTCATGAAATCTATTTCTGACATCAAAATTAGGTTTTGACCACTCTGAATGACAGGCTGTTTAGTGGGCCAATTTTGATTTTGCAGATTTGATGTTTTTAGATGTTGTGCAAATTATAAACTTAATTTACGGTTATGTAGTAACCTTTAAAATAACCTTTTGCAAAAAATTACAGTGATTAGAGCTTGGGAACAAAAATACCCCAAAAAGACATTCACCTTACACCAAAAGTGAGGGTAATTATTTAATGATTTAATTTTTGTTACAATTTCATACTAAATTTAACTAAATTAGTAGGTTTTAAATTTTATGGAATAATCTTTCAGAGAAAAAAAGTTATTACCATATAAAAGTTACAACCCCCTCACTTTGGGGAGTGTTGAAATTGAAAACATGCCAATGTAGTTAAATTTAGTATAATATAATTAACAAACTCATTCATTAACTAATTGCCCTCACTGTTGGGGTAAAAGGAATAATATTTTAGGGTATTTTTGTTCCAGGTTCCAATCACCACAATTTTTATAAAAGTTTTATCATTAGCATAAATATACTTAAATTTGGAGTTTGCGCAATGTCTTAAGTGGAGGCAGAAAATATTTTTATAAAGAGTTAGTTGAAGTGATAACATATGCATTTAAATTAATTTCATCTAACGTATTATAACCAGGTTTATGGAGTAGTAAAAAAAAAGTAACAACTCAGACTAACTCTGACTCCAAAGCAAAATTTTTGAAAAGTTCTTTGAATTCTTTAAAAAATGTTATGCAATAAGTTGAAACGTTTTTTTTGCCAAATTTATTGAGGTTTAGTATGAATACAAGGTTAATTGAATATTTTGTACATGCACATGGAATACCGAAAAGTGTTACTATTGGAGTCGAAGTCGCAATTTTTTTAGCAACTCCGACTCCACTAAAAATGTTGCGACTCCACAGCCCTGGTTATAACGTGTGGTAAATATATTACCTCAAAGTTTTTTTTACATGAAAAATCATAAAAATTATGTCCTAATAATGTAAAAAACCTGCTTAAAAATTAAAAATCTCTGCTTTTTTAAATAATTATAAAATTTTAGGTAAATATGTAGAAATAATTTCAAGTTCCATAAGGATAGATTTTTTCTAAATGCCACAGATGTATTGCCAATATTTACATGTTTTTCACAATTTTCACACATATTTTAATAACTTTTTAACTTTTAAGCATCCTAAAAGATTTAAAAAATTGATCAAGTGCATTATAAAATAAACATTCATTGCCATTAACATATGCATGTTAATTGCAAGTGATTAAAAAGTCAATATATGCCTTTCGTTTTGACCTTTTTGCTAAACTCTGGCCCATTGTGTGCTGGTCTTCTCAATAAGCTTTCTTCTTATGGTGTATCAGGTATCATCTTTAAGAATATCCAATCCTTCTTTTCCTATCATTATAAAAGTTGTCCTTGTTGGACAGCACTCTTCATCTTATCCTATAACTTCAGAGGTTCCCCAAGATTATATCCTTGGCTCTATACTCTTTTTAATTCATATTTATAATATTCCAGCTATTCTCACATCTAAGATGGCTTTGTTTGCTGATGATACTACCATTTATTCTTGTCACGATAAGAAGTCAACATTCTCTGATTGCTTGGAGGGGGCATTTGAGCTTGAAAAGGATCTCACTTCTGCTACAGCATGGGGCTTACAATGGCTAATAAACTTTAATTTAGAAAAAACCCAACTTTTTCCAGCCAATCCTTATTGCAATAATCTAGATCTTCCTATATTTATAAACGGTTATGTACTTGAAGAGTCATCTATCCTTCCTCTTCTAGGATTAACTCTTCTTTCCTATCTTTCTAGGACCAAATGTCAAATCCATTGCAAAATTAATATCTGATAAGGTTGCAACTCTTTATCGTGCTTGCAACTTTTTTACTCTAGATTCTATTTTTTATCTCTATAAATCTTAAGTTTGTCCTTGTATGGAATACTGTTGCCGTATCTGGGGTGAATCTTCTAATGATGCTCTTTCTCTTATAGACAAGGGGCAAAATTACATTGTAAAAATAGTTGGACCTGCTCTTGCAGCCAACCTCCAACCATTATCACATTGCTGTAATGTTGCTTCTCTTTCTCTTTTCTACAAATACTATAATGGGCACTGCTCTAAAGAGCTAGCACTTCTTGTGCCATCTACTAAAATGTATTTTTGTGTTACTCGCCATTCAATTAAGTCTCATCCTTTTACTGTGACTGTTTCTCAGTGCTCCAAAAACTCTTATTTGTCTAGTTTTTTATCTTGAACATCAGTTTTTTGGAATTCCCTTCCTTTATCTTGCTTTCCTGACACATATAACTTACAATCTTTTAAGTTGTCTGTCAATCATTATCTTGCTTTACAAACTTTATCTTTTCTTTCCAGTAACTGGCAGCCTTGTTGTAGGTAAAGATGTTGAAAAAATAAATGAATAAAAAAAATCCCATTTAAATTTTCTGTATTTTAAAAAGCAGCTATAAAAACATTTGTTTGTTAGCTCAAAATTTTGACAAAATAAAAAACAGTTTATATGCAATAGTTCAAGATTTAATAAACAGGCAATGGATTTTTATTAGTTACTATGATTAATTTATTAAATAAACTGGTTACTTGTGTTTGAAACATACAGCCTTTTTACATCATTTGCAAGCTTTTCTATTGTTACTTGTGTTCGAAATGGCTGTCATCAAGCTTATATTTTAACTTTTTTTTAAAAACTTTAAAAAATCTTATTTTTATTTTCTTATTGTGATTTTCTTATTTTAATTTATATTTCCTCATAAAATAGCTTATGTTTCTGGATGAAACAATTTGTATTTCTGTATAATTTAATTTATATTTTGGCATAACCATGTTAGATTACAATTAAGGACAAAAAGAAATAAAAAAGTTTAAACTGCTATAAACTGCACTGCAATTTTTTCACCACTATTTTATTATTACATATCATTACAATAATGTATGTAAGCGCCTAAGAGAGAACAGTTTAAATGCACTCAAAGATCCCTTTGTTAACAAAAAAAATCTAATGCTAAACATTTGCAGTTTTTCAACTAACATCTAAAAGTGGCACAATGTATTATGGACCTTATGAATGAATTATGAATTAAAAAATATTCTTTTTGGAGGTAGAGGTTCAAAACATGTCCAGCACAGAATGTGCTGTCATCAATAATAGTAATTAAAACAGAATAATTTATTAAAATATGAATAATCATTTAGTACTGGTATTTTCATACTCACAGCTGTGTCTGTATATATATATATATATATATATACATATATATATATATATATATATATATATATATATATATATATATATATATATATATATATATATATATATATATATATATATATATATATACATACTATATATATATATATATATATATATATATATATATATATATATATATATATATATATATATATATATATATATATATATATATATACATATTGAAAAATGTACATGAAAATAGAATATTTTTAAAAAAGAAAAAGCCCTTTTAGCTTTGACCTGTTTTGCAGATCAGGATTGAGTATTTTTACTGTGAATCACTAGAACAATTGTCATCCAAGAATATGTATGAAATCTAACTATGTTTATTCACAATTAAATTGAAGATTTTATATCTTTTATTTTTAGTCATGTTGTGTAGAGTAAGAAGTACCAAATTCAATTTCAATCATATCCCTGGTGATACTCTGGTAGTACCCAACCCTGGTAGTATCCCTGTCTGACTTGTTTCTTTAAGCAGCTGCTTTGTTCACCAACATTTTTGTTTTAGAGTTAGAATAGAATTAAGAGAGAATTATATTTTTTTTTTAGCTTTTGTTTTTTTACATTATATAACCACAAATTAAAAAAAATATATGATACACTTCACCTTATTTAGAGTGACAGCATGAGAATAACCAAGCAAAGTCATTCGTTCTATCAGTTGAGGATTTAGTAAAGAAACACAGTAACTAAAATAGTTAAAAAAAAAACTTACAAAATTGCTTTTATATTTAAAAATATTCCAGAACACATGAACAAATATAGTAACTGCACCATTAAAACTCACAGGTGAAGAGCACATGAACAAATATAATGATTGAATCATTACAACTCACAGGTGAAGAACACATAAACAAATATAATAATTGAATCATTAAAACTCACAGGTGAAGAACACCTAAACAAATCATAAAACTTACAGGTGTTTCTCTAAAGGTGTATCTTTGGTACCCAGAAAATAAACTAAATTGTTCCTTTCATCCAACCAAATCTAATGATTAAGTTTTTTTTTAATATTAAATAAAGAAACAATTTAATGATCATTAAAAAGTTAATGGTATAAATAAATATTTTCTAAGTAAAGTTTTAAAGTAATTAAAATATTATGGATATGTGCTTGATAATTTTCCTAGTTATGCCTGTTATGATGACAGTGATGAATTGTAACTATCTGTGATAATCTATCATTTATAAGTCATTACACACATATAAATATACATATACAACTGTTTCAAACGTTGCATCAAATTACATATTCATGTAATGTACTGGAGCATTCTAAACAACTGAAAAAATTACTACTTCAACATTATATTTTAAAATATCTTTTAACCTTTATTTTAATATTAACAAATAACATAAAATAAAATATTTTATACTCTAAAGCACCTATATTAAATATTTAAACTTTTTGCTCATATACAGTAATAGTAAAACACTTTATTATTTTGAAGATTTGGAAATTAAACATTTATACATAAGATAAACAAATATGACACATGATAAAAATAGTTTACATTCATAATAAAATCATAATATAATAAAAAAAACCGTTTCACTATCAACATCCCATTCTCCTTGAGTCAAAGGCTGCTCTGTTAGTACTTGACAATAGCGAATAGCATACTCATTTCTATTTGTTTCCATGAAATCTAATGTTTCATTATTTGTTGTCACAGTATATTTATACAAATGCTTGAAAAAAGTTTTTTCACACATCCATATAAATGATATTTCATTACAAAATTGTGATGGCAAGAAGTGTAGAGCATTAGACACCTTAAAATAAGTAATAATAAACAAATAAGGTAATATGGTTTAATACTATTTTATTATACTAATTGAATATTAAAAATTAAAAAAAATTTATATCTTTATATTTATATTTTACATTTATCCAGTAGTCAGATTTTTCTTCAAGCAAAACGTCAATTTTTTCATTGGAATGAATTGTTGAATTCACAGTACAAAAAGCAGAACTTGGAATTCGTAATAATGCCGATCTGTTTTGAGCTCTGTTAAAAACTTGAACCCATATACTGAAAATTAATATACAAAAGAGTTAATACAGCACTGTCAGTTGAATAACTTGGCAGAAATTAATTCACTTTTCGTAGAAAAAAGAATGAGAAGAAAAGATTGTCATAGTCAGTCTTTATACAGGTAATTATGCAGGCAATTATATTTCACACTTATAAAAAAATAACCATATATTAAACCATGTACTGTAATTAAGTTATATACTATATTTGTTGATTTTTTCATTAAAAATGAACAATGGTTGGTTGCCACCATAAATCATATCTCAAAAACAGTCCAGGGGCAGCAATGTCGAACTGTTAAACTGAGCCCTGTACAGATATATTATGGATACCCATAAACAGATATAGAAGTGATATCCATATACAGATATAGTAGTGATATCTATATAAAGATATATTAAGGTAGGGTGGGGTAATCTGAGCCTCTTTCTAAATTTGAGTTTTAAAAAAACAATGTTTAGGTGTCTGCTTTTTGACAAAAGATATCTTAAAATCATGATTGGACATCCTACTAAACAAATTTAACAAAAAACTATTAACTAAATTCTATCAATGCATCTGGGGGGCCTTTTTTTGAAAATGCCTTTATTAGTGGGGTAATGTAGATCTACATAAAAATTTTTTAGAAGTGGGGTAATGTTGCTCAACATAAAATTTGGGTACTTTTGATTTAAAATATTGCTGCTATGCAAGCACCTTTTTTAAAGTATATATACAAGATTTCAATTTAAAAGTACTCTTAAGATATTTTATATTGAAAAAGAAACATAAACAGCACAATTATAAAATTAAAAATTCTGAAAAATGAAAATCAAAAACGGTGATTTAAAACAGAATTAATAATGTTTTAATAATGTGTTACATAAAAACTATTTTTTTCAGTCTTTTTATTTTTATGGTAACATTCATGCTATTTTGAGCACTTCTTGAATTTTTTGTAGGTATTTCTTGGCTACTTCAGTAGAGGTAATAAGCTTTTATACTTTTTTTTTTTAACTTTGTTTTTTTTCTCTCTTGCTTTTTGTTCCTCAAGTAATTGTCATTTGAATTTTTTATTTGTAAGAAGTTCTCCACATTTTGTACTCTCTTTCTTTTTTTATTTTTTTTGGTTTATTATTACTGTTTCTACAGACACATTAAGACCTATGATTGACCTTAAAGCATCTCGCATAGCAGATCTTGGTGTTTGTAATCTTGGAGATTTAGGGCTATAATGTTCAGGTAATTGATTGAGAAAGTCAATACCTGTTGTTCTTCTTTCCATCTTTTCTTTATTTAATAGTGAGATACCAGTACCATAAAATCTTGCAATAGCAATTGTTGGAGAGAGTCTCTGACACACTTGTTTCAATAATCCTGTAAAATAATCCTGTCTTGTCAATATTTCTGTTTTGTGTTTCTCTTGCAAACCGCTTTAAAAATTTTCTCCACACAATCTTTAATGGTCCAAAGACAGACACATCTAATAGTTGTAATGTGTGTGAGCAGATTGGTGGTAGAGAAATAATATGGATATGGTTGTCAATGGCTGCTCTTATGGTACCATATGTTAAATGACTATTATGAACATCATATTTCAAGAGTTTTTGATCTTGGTCAATAAAGGGTCCACAAACCTAAACAAAGAATGTATTTACTCCTATTGAATCATTTATAATGATTGAATAAACAACAAAGACTGTTCAGTAAATACATAACTAAAAAATTAAAAATAAAAATAAGTTAAAAGAAAAAAGTATATTAAGTAGATAATAGAAATCCAAGTCAAATTTTTTTCAGTTTTTAAACAGATAGTCTTGTACCCATCTACTTGCTATTACCCCAAAAGCACATCCTGATGGTCCACTTTCTATCCATTTAGAATAAAAATAACAAATGGTGGTTGATATCCATCTGCAGACACACATAACAGCACAGAGTACATAGTTTTATCAGAAGAAGCAGCCAGTTTATATGCATATTTAATTTTTGGATGTACAAATACTTTTTTTGTTAAGTGATTTTGTTAAGTGATTTTGTAAGTGATAAGGCCAGTCTCATCAAGGTTTTATAAACTACATGGTACAATGTTATTATTATGAATTACATCAGATAAATAGTATAAAATCTATCTACAACTTCACGTGTTAAACTTTTAGCTCTCAACAATGTAAAAATTTCAGGTTTAGGTAACTGCAGTTTATCAACATGATACATCCTAAAAGAAATCCCAGCTTTTCCAGGAATTCCATTTTCAAAAGGAGTTGTTATTATTATTGTTGTGCAAAATTGGGCTACTTCTAGATTACCAAATGTCAAGAGAATATAATGGAAGACCATATTTTTGACAATACTAAGCCGCAGCTACAATCAGTTTCATAATTATCACTCAGCACTCTTTTTCAACCTTCACGTTTGCTTGCATCAAATTCTTGTTTTTTTTTCTTTGTCTCAATGTTTCTTTTAAAACAGAACATTCTTTAGCAGCATGATAAATAGTTTTTTTTATTCTCACATATTAACATAATAGCTCTTTCCTTATTATCAGCATTGTACTTGAGTTTTTTTTTTTCTTTTTCTAATTCACTTCCAACAAGGCTGCAAGCAACCATTGTTAATTTGTGAGTTACTAGAAAAAAGAGCATAGTTATAGAGCAAGGAAACAGTTGACAGAAGACTTGAATAGTTGAAGGTTGTATGGTAAATATGAAGATGGGAGAAAGTTCCAAAGAGTTAAAGTGCAGGGAAAAAACTAGACAAATAAAAATATAGAAGAGAAAGAGCATAGTTTCATGAACCAGCCCAAATATGACAACAGTATTCCATACATGGATGAACAAGCAATTTGTAGAGGAAAATGGAATCAGGAGTAAGAATATGGCAAGTACAACAAAAAGAGGCAACCTTGGCGGATGCTAATTTAACAATTGATTGTATATATGGTTTCTATGAAAGGTCCATAGTAAATGATAATTAAAGACGAAGTAAAGAAAAGGACTAAGTGAGAGGGTTGCCATTAATATTGGAATGTTGACAGTATTGTGATAACTACTTGCAGTAAATAACAGAGTTTTGTTGGAGTTGAAATTTACAAGCCATTGCATCGGTTACAGAAGTGAGATTAGATTCAAGATTGCTTTTGTCAAGACTTAATTTCTCTGCGCAGATTGCCTTTGTCAACTTAATTTCTCCGCGCAGTGGCTATGCTTGTGAAGGTTTGGAGTTAAAGAGTTGAGAGAGGGTTGTACCACGATTTACAAAAAAAAAAAAAAAATGAGTAGCCTCCTCAACTGTAGTGGCCCCCTCGGGCCTTGGGGAGGTGAATAATTAAAAAAAAAAAAAAAAAAAAGACTGGAATATAAAGTTAGTAAAAAGAGCTACTTATATGTAAGGTTTTCAGAAAGATTTAATAAAACAAGAAACAAAACAGTCTTCTTCTGGGGTACTTCAAGGTAGAACCTTGAAGTACCCCAGAAGTTACTGGAAATATAGATGAGTGTTGGCCTTTGAGGATGACTTTAATAAAGCGGTTAGAAAGAAATGATTTGATAATCCCAAAAACTTTCCCAGATACATCATATGAAACATGCTTATAGAGAAGACCAGCATGTCAAACATTGACAAAAGCCTTAGATATTTCAAGAGCAATAGCTCTAGCCGCTCTGCCTCCATCTAATGCACAATAAAATTTTTCAGTCACAGCAGTTAGTAAGTCAGCCATAGAATGAGAGGATCAAAAACGGTATTTATTGTCTGACAGTTAGTCATTTGGTTCAAGATGGGATGTGAGCAATATGTTGATCAAAGACTTAAAGACCTTACTAATAACAGAAAGAAGACTGCTTGAATGATAATTGGAGGTGTCAAAATGATCAACTTGAGTTTTTGAAAATTAGAACAACAGATGCCATTTTCCAGCAGGCAGGAAAACAAGACTCAGTCAAGCATTTATTAGACAATAAATAATAGTTTAGAAAGAACTGAAGAGAGTTTTGAAGAATACTTTTGTAAGATTATGGCAGTAATGTTGTCTGGACCACAAACCGTAGAAGAGTTCAATTGAGATATGACCTTAGCAACAGAATGTCTAATAATGGGTTATTCTGTTTAATTAGAATGGAAGGAAGAGAATGAACATAAGATTTGAGAGTTTAATTAGAAGAAAAAGTTCTTTGCAAATAAATTTATCCTTGGGAGAGGTAATAAGATCAGTCCCATAATGAAAGATAGAATGTTAGACCTACCCCTTATTAACAATACTGTTGTTCCAAAAGTCTTAAGAGGTTTTATTTTTTAATTTTTTAAAAATAACCTTCTTGCCATTTTTAAAATACTTTCTAAAGTAATGTTTATGAAAAATACGTTAAATTTTAGGTGAAAATTTTTTTCATAAATCATAATTAATCACAAAATGAAATATTATAACAACAAATAGGTATTTTATAAAATTTTATTTTATCTAGGTGAACATATTGTTTCATACAAATAAATACATGTGTTTCTTGATTAGTCATAAGATATAAACTTCAAACATAAATGTTTAATTTTTCTTGAGCTACAAACACATAAATAGTTAGGCCAGGTGAAACTAATAGGCTTATAATATTATTTACAACAACTTCAATAAATTAACATATCTTAATATTTTACTTACATAGACCAACATTAACCCAGTGATTATATTTTAAATTTTAAACAAACTGTGTGCATTAGTGTCTTGAAGCTATACTGACAAAATGTTGCAAAAAATAAAAGCTTGTTCAAATTAAAGCAACAGTCAATAAAAGTTCAACATAGCTATGTAAGGACAGATCTGAATTATAAAAGATCCTATATAAAAATCTGGTCATATTGGACACTGTTTTGCTGGTGTTAACATGGCTTGGCATGCAAGATCAAAAAAATTTGATTGTTCATAGACTTTGTAACAGAAAAAGTTTCCCTAGATTTCTGATGTTTTAACTGGATTATCGATTTTTAATAACTGCTTGTACTGCCCGTTCTTTTTATTTCTTATA